ATTGAATAAACAGTTCTCTTTGTTTGATGCCATGCTCACCAAGCAATCTTCTGAAAGCAATCTTCTGATCCTAATTAAGGCTACATATCTAGCTTGCTTATAAGGATAGAATGCATTTGCCACAAGATGCAAGTATCTATTTGTTCCTTGTTACTCAGTTTCTCATTTGTGTAAATCAATAAGTTTCCATTATGTCTTGTATATCAGTCTTTTGTGAATTTTGTTAGGATAAAGTAGCTTCAAGAATTTGATTGCCTTGAGGCACTGGCAGCTGGGTGCCAGACCCTGCCCCTTGGCAGACCAAGCTGGGCAGCCTGTTCTACAAGGCCCCTTGGCGGTCAGTCAGCTCCCTCCAGTGCCACACCCTGAGTTCATCATACATCTTTCCCTCTGACTTCTTTAAGCATTTCTCATGAACCACGTTAACTCTGTAGGAATGTGTTATTTCTTTGAGCTCTTTTCAAGAGGCATTATAAAAGGGTTTTTTGTTTTTTTACCATTCACTTTTTGAAAGGAATGTATAAGGCTTTGGATGACTAGAGTTTGGACAACTAGAGTCTTGACCTTTTTTCCTTCTAGGACCTGGCAAACCACTTTGAAAATTCTCCTATTGGCTACAGATCTTCTAGACATTTCCCTGTTCATTAGTACCTACTTGCTAGAAGAAAGGCAACACAAATCAGAAAGCACCAAAATCCTTAGATGTTGGAGCTTTTAAACCCACCCCCACCCCAAATGTTTGTTGAAAAAAGCAACAGGCATTTGTTATTAAAAAGTGTTTGAAGAGAAGTATCTATGAACTTAAATTTTATATGGCTGAAGGAGGTTCTCTAAATATTGCTGCAAGTTGTATACCTATCCCCTTTTGAGGATTTAGGATGAATGTTAGTGTATTAAAGATGCTGGGAAGTCTTACAATAAGAAATTTGTTTAACTTTGTATTAATATAATCTGGGTTTCTAAAATTTACTTGAATTCCTTGACTTCAGTCCATCTTCCTTTTCTTGCCCACAAGCCCCAATTAACAAATATGATTTGGGAGATGTTTGCTATATACCATTCCTGTTTTATTCTTTGACCATTCTGCATCTGATCCTGAAACACAGAACATTATTTCTAAAAATGGTTTGGCAGCATTGCCTTAGGTAGCTAGCTATCTAGTAAAGGCATAAATAATGTTTATTTGCATAAATTATGAAGTACAAGTGAACTTTTGTTACATTCATAGATTGTGTAGTGGTGAAGTCAGGGTTTTTAGGCTATCCATCACTCAAATAATGTACATTGTACCCATTAAGTAATTTATCTTTGTCTATCCCTTCCCACCTCCTCACCCATCTGAGTTCTCCATTGTCTATCATTCCACACTCTATATCCATGTGCCCATATTATTTAGTTCCCACTTATAAGTGACAACATGTGATATTAGTCTTTCTGTGTCTGATTTGTTTCACTTAAGATAATGGCCTCTCCAGTTCCATCCATGTTGCTGCAAAAGACATGATTTCATTGTTTATGGCTGAGTAATATTCCATTGTGTATATATACCACATATTCTTTATGCAGTCATCCACTAATGGTTACTTAGGTTGAATCTGTCCATGCTATTGTGAATAGCACACCATGTGTGATATGAGTGTGATAACATAGCATATGAGTGCGGTTATCTTTTTGATACAATGATTTATTTTCCTTTGGGTAGATAGCTACAAATGGGATTGCTAGAATAGTAGTTCTATTTTTAGTTCTTTGAGAAATCTCCATGCTGTTTTCCATAGGTTCTAATTTACATTCCCATCAAGGGAACAGTGTATAAGAGTTCCCTTTTCTCCCATCCTTGCCAACATCTTTTGTTTTTGTCTTTTTAATAATAGCTACTCTAACTGGTGTAAGATGATTATCTCAGTGTGGTTTTAAGTTGCATTTCTCTGATGATTAGTGATGTTGAGCATTTTTCATATGCCTGTCAGCCATTGTATGTCCTCTTTTGAAAAATGTCTCCCTATGTCCTTTGCTCTTTTTTTTTTTTTTTTTTGAGACAGAGTCTCGCTTTGTTGCCCAGGCTAGAGTGAGTGCCATGGCGTCAGCCTAGCTCACAGCAACCTCAAATTCCTGGGCTCAAGCGATCCTCCTGCCTCAGCCTCCCGAGTAGCTGGGACTACAGGCATGCGCCACCATGCCCGGCTCATTTTTTTCTATATATATTAGTTGGCCAATTAATTTCTTTCTATTTTTATAGTAGAGACGGGGTCTTACTCTTGCTCAGGCTGGTTTTGAACTCCTGACCTCGAGCAATCCGCCCACCTCGGCCTCCCAGAGTGCTAGGATTACAGGTGTGAGCTACCGCCCCCGGCCTGCTCATTTTTTAATAGGATTATTTGTGGGGTTTTTTGTTGAGTTGTTTGAGTACTTTGTAAATTCTGGATATTAATCCCCTGTTGGATACATAGTTTGCAAATATTTTCTCCCATCCGGAGGTTGTCTGTTCACTCAGTTGATTATTTATTTTGCTGCGCAGAAGCTTTTTAGTTTAATTAAGTCCCATTTGTCTGTTTTTGCTGCCTATGCTTCAAGGTCTTACTCATGAATTCTTTGTGTAGGCCAAGAGTTTTCCCTAGGTTTTCTTCTAGGACTTCTATAGTGTCAGGTCTTACATTTAAGTCTTTAATCCATATTCATTGTTTTTAAAAATAATATTCATTATTAAAACATATAGCATATTAAAAACAAATTAAACTAGTGCCTAAAATAGTTTCTTACATTTGTATAAGCCATTGTGGCTCTTTGTATTTCCTGTGTTTTGTCCCAGATGGTCTTAGGCTAGGCCTGTGAACTAGGCAGAGCAAATATTATAATCCCTGTTTGAGGGAGAAGTGACTTGAGTTCAGAGTGTTCTGTGATTTGAATAAAACCATATATAATCAGCGGCAGGGTTGGGATTATTAGGTCTCTGAATTTCTGACTCCTAGGTTTAGTAATGTCTTTTTTCCACAGTTGCTTATTAGCCAACCTTTATAGACTGCTTTACTTTTTGCTAATTCTTTCAACTCTTCCCCCTTCTCCCAATGGATAGGTTGTCTTATTCATTAATGCCTATGATGTGTCAGATACAATGCTGCTGTGGTGAATGTTTAAAAATGAATCAGGGAAAGTTCTTGCTGAGAGGTACTCCTAGTTTAGTAGGATAGGCAAATGGAGCAATAAGCACCAGTACCTGAGACATATCGATACAAATGTTAGAGAACATACATGAAAGAATGACAAATGTGATGTCTCTTGTAGTAGAGAATGTTCAAGAAATCACCATAGTAAGACTTCAGCTCAACTGGACCAGAAAGGATTAGCAGGGTTCCTGCAAGCAGAGATAGTGGAGAGTATAACTGGTTTAGGGATAGGTCATGTGAGGGCTTGGAGGCATGAAAGAGCCCTGTATGTTGGGAGAAGAGTGAGTGGTGAGAAAGAGCAGCAGATAAGGCCAGACTCAGTATATGTGAGTTGTTGTTGATCTTGCTAAGCTAATTTCATTTGCTGTAGGTAATAAGGAGCCATGGATGATTTTAGACAAGTGACATGATCAGCTTCTTCTTATGAAAAGATTTAAAGTAATCAGCAGAGGGACAAGTTTATAATGTCAAACAACAGATTCAGTTTTAGAGATAATTAGTTTGAGGCCCAAGCAATACATTGAGGTGTGAACTCAGTAAGACAACAGTGGAACTGGGACTTAGATTGTTTACTTTCAAACTATACTTGACTTGCTTGACATTGAAGAACAAGAAAGGTATTTTGGTTCATTCTGTCATCCCTGGAATCTAGTTCAGTTCAGGTCTACATCTGGGGGTCAGTATCTTCATGTGCAAGGTGGGTGTTGGGTGTTGATGGAAGTTTTGGGGGAGCACTTTTCAGCTAAGAATGCAACTTTGAATGGTCACTGTTAGCAAGCTGGATTATCTTTGGAGTGGTCCGTTGTGATCCTCATCCAGATAAGCAAAAGCCTCTTTAATGTATGAATTGTTCTAGTCTTTTTGGTTCAGATGTGCCTACTTGTAGTAGGCAAGTCTCTTAGAGTCATTGCCCACACCTGTATCAGTCCCCAGAGTTCAGTCTGTCCCCCTGTGAAGCAACTGTTTTGCTGTACTCTTTATCTAATTGTCCATATTATCTTCCTCAAACCAGACCTTTGTTTGGCCTTGTGATTTTTAAAAGTTGGCACCTGAATGCTATTAAGCAGACATATACTGTCCAATTAAGGCCCCTAAATTTCCCTATTGTTACCTGGCTTGATTCATACATTTGTGTTTCCTGCCAGATTCCTGTAGTCATTTGAATTTCATTTGAAAATGAAATGGACCTCACATTCTGGAGAAGTATACTACCCCTTGTTTATATAGCATTTTCTGGAAGGACACAGAATTCAGAATGAAATGGAGCAGTTGTGGACCCCATCCAAAGGGGCCTGTTTCAAAAAGTAGTTTTCCCCTAAAACATATACCCATAAGAATTGCTTTAGACTGGCATTTGTGTACACATTTGGTACAACACTTCATGTTTCATAGAATTTATATGGCAGAAGCTACTTCCTACTATTTAACTGAACTACATAAACTCTTAGGAGACTGACATTTTATCAGGGATAAATTAGCAATATCTTATAGATTTTATTTAGTAATCAATAAAAAAATAAATTGACCTTTTCTTGTTTGAATGCTTGTTCAGCATGACCTTTTATATATAAATGTATTATGTGTGAACTGCTACTGGCACTTCTTTACTGTAATTCACCCCTGGTTTTGCCAGTACAATATTAATTTCTCTTGCTTGGGAATACTACATCTTCTTCTTTCTTTCCTAGCTTTGTATAATCTATAATATGAAAGACTTGTATGTGTGAACTGTTAGGGTAGAATCTTTCTTAGTAGAAATTAAACATTTCCAGAGTTTGTTATAAAAAGTAGAAAGTTTTTTTCTACTGAATAATTTGCTTTTATATGTTGTTTCAGTTTCTGTTACTATGGCAATGACGGCAGGGACTACAACAACCTTTCCTATGAGCAACCATACCCGAGAAAGAGTGACTGTAGCCAAGCTCACGTTGGAGAATTTTTATAGCAACCTAATTTTACAGCATGAAGAGAGAGAAACCAGGTATAGTAAAGGCTAGTCAAAATTTTGTTTAGTTAAATAAGCTGTTATGCTGTAAGTGGAGTGTAAACATGTTTTCCAATAATAATATGAATATTGTGGATCTTTGCATGCTGTTTTTAAGTTCCCTGTACTGATACTATATCTAGTTACTTGTTTTATTTTCAGAGTAGTTTTCCCGAGTTACCCAAAGTCTTATATCACATGTTAATTGATATTTTAAACCCTTTCCAACCACAAAATTGTGATATATCTTTATACTTTCTTTTAGAGGGATGCTTTATGAATTTAATCCAAAAATATTTACAGTGTTATGTGTGTATCAGTGGGAATAGAAGAATAAAAAAAGAATGACATGTTATTTTGCATTCAAGAAACTTATAGTAAGAGAGAGAATGTGCATAAATATTATAGGAAAGACTGAAAAATATCAGTAAGAGAAGGACAAAGAAGGGAAAGATTGCTTTTGACTAAGGCAACTGGGAAGGCTTCATAAACAGGGGTGGCATTTAAACAGGGCTTTAAAGGAAGAGTACTATTTATACATGCATAAAAGGGAGGAGAAAAAGAGGTAAAAGAGCAGGAGGAAGGATATTAGAGATAGAAAAAAATCACCTTCAGGTCAGGCAATGTCCAATTTAGCTCAAGCACAGGATGTGCTAGATTTTCACATCCTAGGAGCCTTGGATGTTTTGTTAATGTAGCTATTTTCATGGTAGTGGAGAGCCTTGGATATTTTTGAGCAGAAGAATTAAATGATGACAACTGTTTCTGTGGAAGAGACCTTTCATTGTGATGCATAGATTGGTTTGGGGGCAGGGTGGGGAAATTAGAGACAGAAAAGACTAGTTATGTAGTCCAGGCAAATGAAAAGGCACCTTGAATTTGGATTGTGATGACAACAATAGAGAGGAACTGAGAAGTGAGAAAGATTGTCAAAATGGGGCAGCTGGCCCAATATGACACATGAGACAAATAAGTCAAAATTGGCCCTGAAATTTTATGCCTGGGCAAAACCGAGAGTGGTACAGTTTAGTGAATTAGGGCTAGAAAAGACAACTCAGGTTTCGAACTTTATTTTGGACAGGTTTAACTGCAGATTAGACATAGGTGAGGAGAGAATTAGTGAACTAGAAAATAAAATTTAAGTAATTATTCAGAAATCAACTTAGAGTGGGAATATATGAAAGAGTTAAGAAACATAGAGGAAAGGCTGGAAATGGTGGCTCACACCTGTAATCTTAGCACCCTGGGAGGCCAAGGGGGCAGATTGCTTGATGCCAGGAGTTCAAGACCAGCCAGAGCAAGAGCGAGACCCCATCTCTACAAAAAATAGAAAAATTAGTCAGGCATCATGTTGCGTGCCTGTAGTCCCAGCTACTTGGGAGTCTGAGGCAGGAAGATCACTTGAGCCTGGGAGTTGGAGGTTACAGTGCACTACAGTGATGCCACTGCACTCTAGCTGGGGTGACAGAGTGAGGCTCGGTGTCAAAAAGCAAACAAACAAACATGGAGGAGAATAGTGAAAAGAGCAGACATATCTCTAAAGTTCCTAATGGAAGAGAAGGATGATAATGGAGCCAGAGGCAAGCAAAAACCGAGAGTTCACCATCAGTAGAAATTCCGAAAGTTCAATTTAGGCAGAAGGAAAGTTATCACCAATAGCAGATCTAAATGGTAAATAGGTAGATAAATCTCAACAAAAATAATAATGATATATCTATGAAATTTAAAAATAGATTAAAATATTTTCCAGCAGCGGGAATATGAGTCAGGAGAGAAGTAATTGGAATTAAAGTGTTCTTAAAGATCTTTGTAGACAGGGTAAATGTCATTAACTTAAGACTTTGACAAATTAGGTATATATGTTGTAATTTCTAGGTAACCACTAAAAGATACAAATAGAGTTGGTAACTTCCAAACTAATAGAGGAAAAATATGAAATGAGGAAAAATCAATTCCAAAGAAAGACAAGGGAAAAGAAAGCTGAAATACTAAAACTGCAAATTGAAATGCAAATAGAAAGCACAAAATAAGTTAGAAATAAATCCACATATATCAGCAACTACATTAATTATAAATGAATCAAGTCTCCAGAAGTGATTAGATCATGAGAGGGTGAATAAAGTAGAAGAGAACCAAGGAAAGACCTATGTTTCTTCAAAAGGCAGGCTCTTAAAAATTCATCAGAATTTGAAGCTTCATAGTATTTTCTTGCTGAAACCTTAAAGTAATTCAGTTTGCGCCTCTAGTTCCAAACAAAGAAAAGTAAGAATAAATCTGCTGTTATTAAGGAAAATATCTGTTATTATCTGCTGTTATTAAGGAAAATAAAAGCAGTTTCAGCGTGGTGCCACGAAAGTCAAATTAAACAGCTCTATTTTCTAAATTTATGCATGTGTGATATATTTTAAGCTTACCTAATTGAATAAATGCATAAGCCTAATAAGTATTAATCAGAGCAAAGTACAAGAGCATTTTAAGAGGAAAACTGTTTTTAAAAAAAGGTACAAGAGAAGTCATGAATCTTCCTGTTTCTATATGGTAGAGGTGGATAAATGTTACTGTATTTCTTCCCAGAATGAGGGGTGTTTTCATGAAGTGTTAGTCTTGGCAAGGATTGAGGGAAGAGGGCAGTGGAGATTTGGGAGAAGAATGAAGTTGCTTGTGTATTGGTAGTTCGTCCTAGAATAACAGTTCCTTACTCTCTGGATACCTTCTGCGGAGGAGAAAACTGGAAGTCATTCAACAAGCAGTTTTGAAGTGCCTAAGGGTACATCGATGTTATGAGCTTATTCCATTCTAAGGGTTGGAGGTGTAAACAAAAGATGAAAATCAGTGTGATAAAGACCCAGGTGCCTATGACAAGAGTGAAGAAGTGTGTGGGTGGACAATATGTTATTAGGGCTCATCCACTCCATTGGGTTGCTGATTTATGCACAAGCTTTAGATGTTTAGTTATAAGTTTTCCATAAGAAAGAAAAATAAGTGATCTTATTAATGGTTTAGGAAAAAGCTTACCTTTGGACATACTGTTATGAATAACAAATACTGAAAAATGTGTATGATGGTTTCTGTCCTTAACCCTTTTGATTAAATGCTAAAGAGTTAGTGTTATTCTTGCACAATCCAAAACTAATTAGGAGGCATTCTCCCAGGTTTTATATTTAGGAAAAACCAATACAATAGATATAAAATACTAATACTCACTTGGAAAGGAGTTATAAAATATGTTCCACAACTATCTCTAGTTTTGGTGACTTCAGCCATGTTGCCCACCCCCACCCCACCAAATGCTTAGCTTAACTAACTTTAAGGGTGCCATTAAAAAAAAAAAAAAAAAAGAATAACTGAACTTGACTGTACCTAGAAAAACAAATGTTCTGGTAGTTAGCGGGGTTTTTAAAATATACATATATGACTTTCCAATTTTCAAAGAATTTTAATAGAAGAAAATAAAAGATGTACAGTTGCATTGAACATCTTTCCTTGATTAATTAGGAAAATCAACCTTAAGAGGACTTAGACAAGCTCATTTAGCCAATAAATGAAAGGAGATTCAAACAAAAGCATATCCACCTTAAAAATTTATGCTTTTAGTCACTGTAGTTATCCTTTTATACTTGTAGTACAAACATTGAGTAATATTAATGATTTTGGTGGATTTAACATTAGATAACAGAGTTTTCCATATTAGAACATTAGTTATCTTTACTATTAACCATTTCGGCAGAAGAGTGAAGTAAGCTTTAGAAGTAAATTATTCTTTTGGCCAATATGAAAAAATGAAATCTGGGTTTATATTTTTAAGAAAGAAAACTATTCTTAGTGATTATTTTGATCCAACTTCAATTTTTTTTTTTAACATAGCAAACTGAAGTGGTTAACTCGAATAAATAAATGTATATTTCTTAAATGGAAATAGGTTAGGAATGTATTTAAAATTTAAATTATTTTTTCCTTTGAAAAGGCAAAAGAAATTAGAAGTGGCCATGGAAGAAGAAGGATTAGCAGATGAAGAGGTAATGTGATTACTTATAATTACTGTACTGTAGTGACTTTTTCATTTATTGATATCAGATGATTTTGTAACTTAGATAATGTGGATTTTATCATTTGAATATGGGCTTCCTACTTTATTGCTATCATGGATATCTTTAGAAGGAAGCAGCTTTTTTTTTAATTCCAAGAATATTCATTTAATGAAAATTACAGTATTCTAGGTTTGTGGAATGAGAAAGGCAGGCTCCAGGAGTAATCAATCAATTGCTGACTCTTTTCAAATTTTTTTTCTAAATATTCTTTAAAAACCATCTACTTTTCTAGTTCAGTGCTACTACCTTTGTTTAAACTACCGTATATTTCAGTTGAAGAGTAACTGTCCCCAGCGGGTGTCTCTACTTCCTGTGTGCAGTTTTTCTGCATACTGCAACCAGAGTAATCTGTCTAAAAAGAGATTTGATCATATCACTCCTTTGCTTAATAACCTGTCACTGGCTCCCAAGTGCTCTGGGCAAGGGCAGACTTGTTCACACTGGTCTACAAAGACCCTTCACCTTACCTTGGCCTCTGCTTCTCTCTCTCCAGCCTCATCTCTTGTCACCCACCCTGCTGCCTACGCTGACCAGTGTAAATTACTTTAATTTCCCCTCTCTTGTCTGTGGTGACCTTGTCACATGCTATTTCTGCTTCTTAGAACTCTTTCTTACTCCTACCTAATTCCCATTATTCTTCAAGAAGCTTTAGGTTTCACTTTCACTGAGACATCTCCTTAATCTCTCAAGGTATTCTCCTGCATTCTGTTATTCCATAACACTGTTCCTGTCCCTTTGGTACCCTTAAAATACCATCTTTCCAGAGACTAGAAACTCCATGATGTCTTATTCAACATCATATCTTGAGAACTGGCAGAGAGCTAGAATAAATACTTGGTGAATAAATGAACAATGGATTTTGCCTTCAAGTAGTTTGCAGATTAGAAGGAGAGATTGTGTGTGTGTGTGTGTGTTTGTATGTAAAAATATGCATACACGATAGAATGTGGCAAACTTTGAAAATATAGACAAGATTTCTTTCCCTCCTAATTCAGGGAATCAGAAAAGGTTTTATGGAAGAGGAAACAATTGCTTTGAATTATAAAGAACTGGTAGAATTTATATTAGAGAGAAGAAGTATATACAAAATAATGAGTATACATATAGAATAATGGGTCATTACATTTGAGCTATAAAGGGTGCAGTAAAGGAAATAGCAAGGTAAGTTCCACAGCACACAGTGGAAAACTTGGCTTAGAATAGTTTACTAAGAAAGGTATACTTTATTTTCTAGGCAGTAGGGAGCCACAACCTAGATTAATTAATTTAATAGTTTTGGTGATTAGGAAAGAGTTTCTATATTTAAAAAGTAGACTGCCAAATGATGACTTGCAATCAAACCCTTATCTAACCTTCCCTGCACCGTTCCTAGGACTGTACCTGTATCCTTAGAGTTGCAATGTTTAAATCAAATAAAATATCTTATGATTTATACTAGAGTTGGTTACTTTGTTAATCACTTGACTCAATCCAAAAAACTAAAGTATTTTTACATCTAAAATTATTTATTATTATTACATGAAATTACCATAATCAATTTTTTAAAAGCTCATTTCACTTACCTTCTTTAAATTTTAGTGAGAAAGATAATGATTTAAATCTGTTCTAATCTCTAGAGAAAAAATAAGACTGAGTACATCTTTCCTCATTTTTTAATTAGCATAACTTTCTTATCATTAATAACCATGTAATGATAATCATTAAAAATATTATACATCATTATAGTGATAAATCTTAAACATAAGATCTTAATTTGAAGTGTAGGGGAGGCCCAAGGTCCAAGTAGTAACATAAGTGAGCAAAACTGGCCAGGTTGGTTTCATAATGACATATTATAGTTATATTCTTTTGATCCAAATGTACTTTGTTTACATATGCAACCTATAAGAATATTTTTTTTACTTCCACAAAGATATAGATTCTTATTTTTCCTGTTTTTAAAATACTTGATCCGCGCAGCTTATCTGTTGATAAGGACATACCATTTTGCACATTACTGTAAGAAAACAAGAGCCTCAGCCCACTTAGACATGTTTTCCTAGTGACTGGCATCAATGCTGGAGGCTGACAAATTAGGAAACAGTGGCCCACCTAAAGGGGTTTGCCACTGTTGGCCTAGGTGGCCAAGTTCCTGTTTTTCAAGAGAAGGTGGAAATCTGGACTTTTATTCAGAATCACCTGCTTTTGAAAATATCAGCGAGTAATTAAAATGTTTTAAAAACAACTTGCAGTCCAAATCAAATATGTCAGTAGGTTGAATACAGTTTTTAGCTTCCCGTTTACAAGCTCTGGTCTGCATCAGCAAATGCTAACTACATTTACAGCTGTTTTCTTTGACTTTGCTAAATAACTGGTAGAAAATGTGAGATGATTTTTGCTCGTAAAAATAGTCAGCGGTTCATAACACCTATTTATAAAACTTCTCAATTTTTTCTGTAAAGATATTTTTAATCCCACAAATAGTTATTATTAAGTCCCATACTACGTCTGGATTATGTCAAATTCTATAAAGTAGACAAGCTCTCTCAATCTTAATATAAAATATGTTGGCGGCTGTAATCATAGCACTCTGGGAAGCCGAAGCAGGTGGATTGTTCGAGGTCAGGAGTTTGAAACCAGCCTAAGCAAGAGCAAGACTCCGTCTGTACTATAAATAGAAAGAAATTAATTGGCCAACTAAAGATATAGAGAAAAAATTAGCCGGGCATGGTGGCGCATGCCTGTAGTCCCAGCTACTGTGGAGGCTGAGGCAGAAGGATCGCTTGAGCCTAGGAGTTTGAGGTTGCTGTGAGCTAGGCTGACGCCACAGCACCCTAGCCCAGGCAACAGAGTGAGACTCTGTCTAAAAAAAAAAAAAAAAAAACAATAAAGGGGAGAGAAGGGGATGGGCAATATATGTAACCTTAACATTTGTACCCTATGCTGAAATAAAAAAAAACAAATAAGTTAAAATAAAACATAAAAAAAAATTAAAAAAAATATGCTGGAACTAGCTTTATGTGGGGTAGGGTTTTTTTAACTAAAATTGTTTCATGAAAACAAAATAGATGAAGTTGCTAGCTGAGCCCTTTCTTATCTCAAAACTTTGTCTGTTTTATAAAAACGTGGGACCCTATAGATTGAGAATTTGACGAACACCCATATAAAAAGGAATGGAACAAGGAAGAAAATAATTTCTAGTTTCATCACACTTAAGGAAATCCCATCAAGCATGGAATATTATTTGTTCTAATGGAAACCCAAAATAGGCAAGTTCAAACTACAGCAGAGAGCCATGAACTGTGAAACCTGTCCACAGATTTTCTGTTGTCTTCTGCGGAGAAGGAAAGAATGTGATTACCTCAAAGATGTTGTTCATCTTTCAGTGGTATTTAATCTGTACACGTTGTGAGCAGATATATCAACATGCTTTTTCATGAATTTTTTTTTAAAAAGTGAACTTGCTTCAGCTACCTTTGGGACCACAGTGCTGGTGACTACAATCATGGAATAGATTTTTTAAAAGTAATGTATCAATGTTATAGGTGATTTCTCATTTTTGTAGAATTATGTGTTCCATATGCTTGTGATTCTCCCTGTTTGCTATGAAATGGCTCTGCCCCAAACTAGATAAACATTGTTTACTTGCTGCATCATGCAACTTATCGGACAATTAATGGAACTGTAATGAGGTCATCTTTTCCATTCACATTAGACAGGTTTCTGCAACTATACCTACCTGTGCTCTGTTTTATAGACCATAAAGGGAGAGATTTTATTTCAAATTCTTATATTTATTCATTTATGTAATCCAGAAAAAAAAAAAAAACCCTCTTCACTACTTTGAAAGACATGATACCGTAGTGCCACCAAGTGGCCTTTTAAAAATGACAGTCTTAAAATGTAAAAGGGGCTACTTTTGAGGGCTATCTTTTCTTTTACTCGTAATTCAGGGGTTTTATTTATACCTTTTAATTATTCAAAAGGTATTTTTGAATACCTATTACATACAAAAAAGGAAATTTGTCATTGTATTTATGTATAAAGAAGCAAAAAATTAGTCTTCAGTGTTGCTTTAGGATCCATCTTTGTTTTTGTAATTATCTAAGTATAATTTTATCTTCTTTGAACTGATATTTAAAAGATGAAAATCACCCATGAAGATCCCATGATTAGGGAAGTCTATTTTTTAAATTACTACACAGCCACTAGATCTGGATAGTTTTAGGTAAATAGAATGATGATTATTATATCTTCATCATAGTTACTTAATTTTCTTTATTGCCTCACTTCTTACCAAGAAAAAAATTCATGATTGCTTACTTATTTTTTTCATAGTACCATTGTATTTTATAATCAACATCAAATGTGAAAAAGACAATAGGCAAAGTTTTAAATTGGTATGCTTGACTTTTATCTTCATACTCTCCTAATTTCTACCATTGATATACCTGAGTGTGTTTAGCTGCTTGAATTAAAGACATAATTTCTTGATTTCAACCTTTTAGATTAATTCTGTTAGAAGTATCAAAATTCCATTGCATTGATTATACATATTTACATAATTACATTATTACATTATTAAAACAGATAAAACAGATATACAGATATAAAAACAGATATACACAGCAGTAGGGAGGGACTATTCAATGGTTGTCCCTTGAGCTGCATTTAGAAGCAATGTTTCTGAGCTGTTACGGTCATTTTGACTTGTCTCTTCCTCAAAACTTAACAACTGGGAGTTTGATAGGGTTTAGTGGAAGATGAACAGGTAATTTTTTTCACTGATTTGGTTTATTTCCTAGTCTGTTTTACCTCTACTAGGAACTAACTGTGTCAAAAAACAGACTTTCATCTGATGAGGAGAAAAAATGAGATTTAGAACAATGAAATAAATGCCTGTTCCAAATGTAACCTTCAGGTGTTTCATAATATTGCTTATTAATGGTAGTTATTTTTTGTGATATTTGTAGAATCAATTATGAAATTACTAACTTGGATATCTTAATGACTTCTTGTAATTTTTTTTTCCAATTTCATATTTTCAGGAACGTGTATGTCACGTCTTAAGTAGTTTATCAAAATTTGTCATAGGAAATTCTACCATAAGTAAATCTCTATGGAAACATTTTGTTGTTTTGTTGTCAGAAATCTTAGTAGTTGTGATAGAGCAACTTTGGAAGTTAGAGAATTGAAACAAAGTAGATATCCTGGCAGAATAAAAATCAATATCCGAATACTATTAGCATTTCCTAAAGTTTAATTTTTATTTATGGAATTAAGTTAGCATAGATATGAAAGAATAAATTTTGTATATATAAATATGATGGACTGGTTAAGATGAAATATTTAATGGTGTCCACCTCAAGAGTAGAGATTTATCACTTGGTAAAAATAAAAAATTTTCTTTAAATTGCTTTACTTTTTCCATGCTTAATACATATTTGGCTTTGGCAAATAAATTATAGCACTAGTGTATACTATTTAAGATACCTTACCTCTGCTTTTATGTGGATCATCTTTTAATAGTGTAAGCTCCTTTGAAACAATCTGATTATAAAATCTTGCCTTTAAACTGTCTTTTTTTAATAGAAAAAGTTACGCCGATCACAACATGCTCGCAAAGAAACAGAGTTCTTACGGCTCAAGAGGACCAGACTTGGCTTGGATGATTTTGAGTCTCTGAAAGTTATAGGAAGAGGAGCTTTCGGAGAGGTGTGCTGCTTTTTTAAAGTCACTACTGCTGAAAATATATATCTTAAGCTAGTTTAAAATATGTATTAAAATAAAATTTCTGAAATAACAATGGCAACTTCCTGCTTTCTTTAAGGGAACATGCTTTGCGCTCATGAATAAATAGCAGTGATTGTTTAAACTTATAATACTTACTTTGTTAACTTCTCAGCCTTTTGGCTAAGATGAAGTGTAGTATAATATTTATTTTTATATTCTAGGTGCGGCTGGTCCAGAAGAAAGATACAGGCCATATCTATGCAATGAAGATATTGAGAAAGGCTGATATGCTTGAAAAAGAGCAGGTACGGGTTCTTTAACACATATAACACGAAGGAACATCCACTGACTAGGTGTTAGAGTAAGTGTTTATATTGGAATTTTTAAAAAGACATTTATATACCTTACTATATAATCTGTCAATTTTTTGATATTCTGTTTTAGTGTTTCTCAATTCTTAACGTTTAAAATTTCTTCCAAATTCATAATCAGCATATTAGTCTGCTCAGACTGCCAAAACAAAATACCATAAGCTAGGTAGCTTAAATAACAGAAATGTATTTTTTCACAATTCTGGAGGCTGGAAGTCCAAGATGAAGGTTCTGGCAGGTTTTGGTTTCTGGTGAGGCCTCTCTTCCCGGCTTGCAGACGACCACCTTATCGCTAAGTCCTCATGCAGCCTTTCCTTGGTGCACGTGGGGAGGAGTGAAGGAGAACATGCATGCTCCCGTGACAAGTCCCTGGTGTCTCTTCTTGTAAGGACACTAATTCCACTGTTACGACCTCATTTAATCTAACTACTTCCTTAGAGGCCCCATCTCCAAACATAGTCATATTGGGTATTAGAGCTTCACCATGTGAATTTTGCGGAGACACAAACATTCAGTCCATAACAAAATACCTTCTGAAATACTTCCTTCTCTGACTTCAATGAAAGTAAAGGATAGTCCTCGGTACCCTCTATCCCATCATATATGAAATAATTGAAACCAGTCTCCTGAGAATTTGCTGATTTTCATGTTTCCAAAATCTGTGACTACTTTTTGGGCTCTCTTCATGTTTCCTGTGACTTAATGCAGTCTGTGGGGTGGCCATAATGTCTGAAAACATTGATAGTATTATTTTATGTGTTCACTTGTGTTTCCAGTGTGGGTGGACACTCTAGAACCCTAAATTGAATGCCTCTTCTAGTGAAGAACTCAACAGTGAAACTGTGTAGGAGATAGCACTTCTTTGTTCCTTGTGCTTTGTCTTTTAGTCCCTACCTGAAGCTTACTTTATTATTATTGCAACAATATAATACATTATGTTAATAATTATAATAATGTATGTAATGCATTAATAACCATTAATAAGTTGATTTTTATTTAACTATGACCCACTTGGATTTTCACTGCATTTTTTTATTTTGCTATTTCATTCATTCAGCAAATATTTATTGGGTGCCTACTTGTATTGTATGTTCTGGGAATACAGTGATTAACAAGGCAAACCTGATCTTTGTTCTCTTTTGTAGTAGTAGAGACAAGACAGCTGTTTCACATTGTCATGACAAGTACTGTGAGGGAAATTTTTTTAAACGATAGATAATACATATGATCTGGGTTTAGGAGGAAGAATTAGATCAGGGAAAGTTTCTCTGAGGAGGGAATATTTGATGAGAGACTGAATGATGGGAAAGAATGACATATAGAGATCTTATAGAACAGGGCAGGCGCAGTGACTCACGCCTGTAATCCTTGCACTCTGGGAGGCCAAGGCAGGATGATCACTTGAGGCCTAGAGTTTGAGACCAACTTGGGCAACTAGCAAGACCCCGTCTTTACAAAAAGAGTTTAAAAATTAGCCAGGCATGGTGGCACACACCTGTAGTCCTAGCTGCTTGGGAGGCTGAGGACAGGAGTTGGAGTCTGCAATGAACTCTGATTGTGCCACTGATCTCCAGCTCAGGTGACAGAGAGAGAATCCCCCCTCTAAAAAAAAAAAGATCTGGTAGAACAGTGGTCTGGGTGGCAAATGCAGAAGGCTGAGGCAAGAGTAACCTTGGTCTTGGTCTGCTCAAAGAAGAGAAAGAAGCCATTATGGCTAGAAAGAAGTGAAGAGTGATTAGAGATGAAGTGAGACATAAGCAGGGCTTTGAAGGCTGTGATCTAGAGTTTGGATTTTATACTAAGTGCAGTGGGAAGATGTCAGAGGGGTTTGGTTTTGTCTAAACAGGGGAGCGTCATGTTTGATTGCTGTTTTATATGGCTTATACTTTGGTTATGACATTGAAATTGAAGAATAGTTAAATAGATTATATGTTTCGAAGGAAGAGCTAGCAGGATTTGCCCTGATGGACTGTTGTGGGGGGAGGGAATGGACAAGAGTAGTGAGGGAAAGGGAAGAAAGCAGGATAAAGTAATGGGACGTGATGACATTGCCTAGGAATCAGGTATACAGAAGAAGAGGGCCTGGATGGAAGCCCTGGGGAACATCAGGCAGAGGGGAACCAGCAAAGGTGACCAAGAAAGAACACTGTATCAGATAGGGGAAAACTAGAAGACATGGTATCCCAGAAGCCAAGAGAAGAAAGTGTTAAGAGGAGGTGAGTAGTCATCTATGTTGAATGCTGCTAAGAGAGAGAGCAAGAGGACAGGCCACAACATGGGGATTTTGAGTAACTTGGCAGGGACAGTTACAGTGGATTGGAAGGCAGAGGTCTAACAAATGGTGGAAAGGAGAATGGGGGAGCAAGAAGTGTAAACAGTATTTGTAAATCTTTCATGTGAAGCAGAACAAAGAATAGATTGGTAAAGTGAGAGAGTCAAAAGGAGATTTTTTTTTTTTTTTTAAAGACGGGAAATGTTTCGATACTGATGAGAAAAATCCATTAGAAAGGGAAAGATTGAAGATGCAGGAGAGAGAGGTGATACTTACAGGACTATACTGGAAGACAAGGGAACAGGGACTCATTTATTAAAACAGGAAGGAAAAGCAGAAAAAATGGGAACAAATCAGGATGGTTGATCTGGCATTGGAAAGTTTCGGCTTTCTCCCTGAGTGCAAATAGCTGTGGCCATCTGCGGGGGAGTAAAGGAGGAGTGGCTTGTTGAAGGCTCAAGCAAAGAGAAGTTGTGAAATCCTCATCCTGAAGTGTGGGAAAGTAGACTTGCTAGGGAAATACAGTTGAATGCATATTGAGATTTGCAGTCAGGCATTTAAAGTGAAACCAGTTGGTATATAGTTGGGTGATTTTTCACCAGTAACACTTAGTTTCTCAGGGTCAGATGCAGAATAGACAGAAATTTGGGTTTAACCATGGTTAGTGTTTTCCTAGGCAAACACAGTGGAGGGAGAGAAGAATGAAGGAGTTCATGTCATTTGCAAAAGGGTGATCATAATAATGGAATCTAGACTGGGTAAGTGAGGTTATGAGGAGGGTAATAGAGAAAAGTGGTAGGGCCCATGGCATAGAGATTGAAGTACTAGAATAAGAGACCTGGAAGGATAGAGCAGTAGAGATCAGAAAGAGAGTTCCTCAAAGTTGAGATTCTAGAAGGGAGTAGTACAGTTACTGGTGATGAGGAGGACAAGAATCTTAGCATGGGTGGCTGAGGTGTAGTGGAGGAAAGATCACTGAAGGGGGGAAGAAGTCAAGGAACTGTGTAGAACAGGGTATTTGATGGTTCATCCTGTGGCTGTTGAAATCCATCCATGGGTGGAGAGGAAGATGTTGGGCCATGAGTTGAAGTCATGTATGAGTGAGGGGGATTGATCAGGAGTTCTGTCAGTGATAGCTATGAGGAAGGATGATGTGGCCTCACAGCATGTGCTTCAAAGGAGCTAGAGAGAAGGAAGGCATCAGAATGGTCCAGAAGCAGCCATGACAGTGAGGAGGAAAGCTACCGCCTCACCAGGCAATGCATGAGAGCAAAGCAGGCCTTTCTTGAGAAGGCTGCAGGAAGACAACAGAACCTTTAGTAAAAGGCGTATGAGGAGGGATGGCTCGTTTAAGGAGAGAGAAGTTGTGAGGGTCATCCTGAAGTTTGGGAAAGCAGACCTAGGCAAATGCAGGTGGATGCTCACTGCAATTTACAGTCCTGAAGAGAAACCAGTTAGTATAGCTGGGTGCTTTTCAGCTAGAGATGAGGGTATAGGGGACTTTGTTGGTGACAGTCTATGATTCTCCAGAGGGAAAAGGTTTGGAAGGCAAGGAAGGTTGTTGAGATATGGAGTTGGATTAGATAATTGTAGATAATGATGAGAATAAGGGTAAATAAATTAAAAAAAAAAAAAAAGGTAGAGATGTGTAGCCTCAGAGACAAGGAGGGAAATAGGACTCTAACTTAGCCATGATGGGATTAGTCCTAGATAGGGTTTTAGAGGAAGCCAAGAGGCACCAGTTACTTCAAGCTGTATATAGTCTAGCCACTAGCCACCTATGGCTGTCTACTGGGCACTTGAATTGTAGCTAGTCTGAATTAAGGTATGCTATAAATGTCAAATACCCACCAAATGAAGACTTGGTACCAAAGAGAAGTATAAAATATTTCAATAACTTTTATATTGATAACATTGAAATAACATTTGGATATATTGGGTTAACATAAACTATATTACTAAAATTAATTTTATCTGTTTTATTTTTTTCATGGCTACTAGAACATTTAAAATTATTAATACATATGTGGCTTGCATCACATTTGTATTGGAGAGCCTGGTTTAGAGTATTGCCAAAGTTGAGGAGACTCTGGACCATTGTTCTTTCCTATATGGGGGCAATCTCCCTGGAATCTAACATTCAGTCGGTTTTGCATTTTGGGCTTGTTTTCCCCCTACACAAAGTTAATCTGTATTTGTTACCACTGAATTTTGTTTTAGAAAACCTTTTCCTATGCAATTCTAACACGTCAATATTTTAAGTTGTATCACTTACTTTAATGCTAACCACTGCACAAAATTAAGTAGCAACCCATCCTCCCAGTATTGTGGTACCAGATTACTGTATGTCATACTAGAATTCTAACCTTTGGATCCCATTTTGGAAACATATCCTATAGTCTGGATTTATTTATTTATTTATTTATTTTTTTTGGATTCATAAATTGGAGTATATATAGTCTGGATTTAAAATATTTAAAGCCAAGTATGTTGCAGTTTTTTTTTCTGACAACACTAGACACAGCACCAGAAGTTTAAGCCTTTTCCTTTGTGACCTTTAATTACTTCCTAAAAGGTAATAGGTAAGAATTTTTGCTACTATTTTTCACTTAATGAAACAGATCCAGAGATATTAGAAAGCATTTTGATGCCAGAAAACAAATTCTTTCCAACTCTTATGCTTTGATCTCAGAGTATTTACTGTACCAGGCAATAATATAGTATTATAATTCTAAATATGATATTTTAAGCAGAACATATTATCATGAAAAGATTTACAGATATGTGTTCTTATGTGCTTTTGGCCAGAGTTCATAAAGATGTATGTTGAAAATAGCAAAAACATAAAAATGAAATTTTACTGTTAATCTTTGAAGAAAGAATGTATAAATGTATTAATGCAAAAACAGAAAACTAACCAGTTATGCCAACCCCCCTGAATTTTTCGCTCTGTAAAATTTTCACATAATATAGCTTCCCTAGTAATTATATATCTGACATATCAGTAGCAAAATCCCAAAAAGTTACACAAATTTACTATAGCTAATGTTTACAGATACTGTAGAGGTTTTATATTATAAAAATGACTTAATATAAATTTAAAGTTATAATTATTCCTACTTTAAAAAACAAATAAATATCAAGGTAGGCCCATTGTTTAACAGTTAAAAATAGTTTGCTATTTTTAGCAAACTTTGGCTTTGGCTTACCAGTCTGCAGGGCATTGTTTACTGCTCTTAACTTTAAAAGTTAGAGTAGTGCCCTAAATTTATATGACAAAGCCAGGATCCTTGGCCGTGTAGAGATTCTGGTTACAAAGTTTTTAGACTAATCATTGCTTTACCTCAAAGGCCTTGGCTTCCCATAATATACCTGTTGATCTCACCTTTTCAGAACTAAAAATATAAGCTAAAATAAACTATTTCCTGAGTTTCACCACATTCAATGAAAATATGACCATGCATGTGTTTCAAATCTTTTCTAAAACTCCAGCTTTCCTTCATTACTGTTATGGATGGATAAGAGTAAGAGGTAAGCTTGAAAAATGAATAATGTGTTATAATTATATTTTCAAAATATATTCATCTAGGTGGCCCATATCCGAGCAGAAAGAGATATTTTGGTAGAAGCAGATGGTGCCTGGGTAGTGAAGATGTTTTACAGTTTTCAAGATAAGAGGAACCTTTATCTAATCATGGAATTTCTTCCTGGAGGTAAAAGCAAACATTGTAGCAATGACAGACTGACACAAGCACATCTTCATATGTAATAATAATTTTATTGATTAGGTTTACTTTTATATTCCTAGTCCTGAGGTTTTACATAGTCACAGTCTTCAATATTTACTTTCATAATAATGCTAATTTTGACCATAAATCAGATTATTTTGAAGAAATGATAAAGTTGGCACATTTTAAATACTACCATTCTGGGCTCATTATGTATAATTAGATTGTTATAAGTCTAAAAGTAAGACAATAAAATAAGAAAGAAAAAGAAAACCCAATGAGCAAATGATAGAAATATCGAGAGGGGAAACCGGTTAATCTATAAATATACAGGGAGATGTTCAACTTCATTGATATTTAGGGAAATACAAATTAAAACAAGAATGAGATACCGTTTCACACTCGTCAGATTAGCAAAATCATTAAAAGTTTAATGATACTAAGTATTGGTGAAGCTGTGGGGAAAACTGGCCTCTTGTAAATTGATCTCTGACTTTTATGGAGAGCAATTTAGAGATACCCAGTGAAGCTAAAAATGCATGTGTCCTGTGATCTAGCACTTCTACAACCAGCTGTATTCCCTAGAAATTCCCCCCCCCATATATACAGGAGACTTATAAAAGGATGTTTATTGCAGCATTGCCACAGTAGTGAAAAATTGTATGCAAGATATTCCTTGCAACATTGTCACAATAAAATTGGATGCAAGATAAATCCCCATCAATGGAGGAATGGATAAATAAAATCTGGCATAATTATATGATAAAATATTTTACAATACTCAAAACAGTTAAGATCTCAGAAACAGAGTGAATAAAGCAAGCTGTGGAATTACACCCACAATTTGACACCATTTATGTAATTTTTCAAAAACACAAAAGAGTATAAATTCATAGATAAATATATGTATATGAAAACATATTTAAATGTAAAACATTTAAATGTTTTATGTTTATTAAAATGTAAAACATTTTAAAATAAGGTAAAGGATACCCACCAAACTAAATCCATGATAATCATTGCTCAACAAAGAGGGAAAGGGGGATAGAATGGGAATGGAGGACAAAGACTATTTCTACATGCTATTTTTTTTTTTTAAAAAAAGACTCAAAGCATATGTGAAAAAATGTTATCGGTTGTCAGTTCTGTTTTGTAAGTGCACCAGTGTTCGCAGTAGTTAAAACTACTTATTTTCCCCCTTTTAAAGGAAAAGTTCTTTGAAAATAAAAGAATGTCTAGAGGTATCCCTATTAGTGGGATGATGTCCTGTTTTTGTTGGACTAAAGAGCTTAGGATGTTTTTGAAACTTTAAAAGAATATATCTGGTTTCCAGGTACACTTATTCTTGTTTGACATATTTTCCCCAGCAATAATTTTCTCTTATTCTGGATGTTGAGTAGTGGATATTACTTCATTATCAGCTTTGTTCTTACTTGACTTCACATAACTCTCTACCTTAAAACCATTAAATGTCATGGACTGTTTGCTTATGCAGTGACACTTTTATTTGATCCCAGAGATGGTTATTTATAGTGTACTGGGTGATGCAAAATCAGGGTTGCATGTATAGATATAAAGAAAACTCTTAAGAAGCTATTCCCCTTTTAAGGCATTTTCAATGACATGATATGTACTTTCCTTTATTTAGGTGACATGATGACATTGCTAATGAAGAAAGACACCTTGACAGAAGAGGAGACACAGTTTTACATTTCAGAGACTGTTCTGGCAATAGATGCAATCCACCAGTTGGGTTTCATCCATCGGGATATTAAACCAGACAACCTTTTATTAGATGCCAAGGCATGTGAATATACTGGTGAATTATTAGGTTGCTGATTATTTTATAGTGTAATAATGCTGATTTTGTGATTGGAAATGGGCAGCTGTAATTGGGATTATTGTTAAATTACATCATTTCATAAAATGATGCACTAAGAGAAGACTCTGAAATGAAGTAACATCAGGAAATCTGGCTTTTTGTTTCTTCCATTTTCCACTTTTAAAAATCATCATCAAATATTTGTAATGTTACATTTTCACTTGTGTGAATTCCAAGCTAAGAATTTTGTACAATGATTGCATTTTAAAAAGGAGTTTATAATAAGGTCTTTGTTTTCAAAATTAATATAATCTCCTGATTTTACTGGATTTTTTTCCTTAGGGTCATGTAAAATTATCTGATTTTGGTTTATGCACGGGATTAAAGAAAGCTCACAGGACTGAATTCTACAGAAATCTCACACACAACCCACCAAGTGACTTCTGTAAGTTTGATTTTTTTTTCTAGTTAAAATATTATAGCTGGTTTAATTCAGTACTGTCAAGAACTGAAGGGCCTCTCCCTTCCTGTTCTCCCCACTCCTTAAACCAATGTGATTTGGATGTATATGTATTTTCGTTTTTTGTTGAGAGTTTTTCCCTCATGGTTACAATTCCATATTGTTGAAATTAGCATTTCAGAACATGAACTCAAAGAGGAAAGCAGAAACTTGGAAGAAGAACAGGAGACAACTGGTGAGTCAGCCACATTTTTAAGAAAGAATTTTGTGCCCTGGTCCTATCTTCACAATGAGATGAGTACTTACTTCATAGCAGTGGTAGCGCTTGTTCTGGGATCACACAGTTTTGTAGTGTTTCTGTAAAGTTTCCTTGCCTGTGAAGCAAACTATTGATTTTTACTTGATGATTTAACTTTACAGTACTTTATTGAGCATACCTATGAGTAAGTAATCTCTCTGTTTACTAGTAATTAGCATTTTTTTAAATAAAACTCAGTGAGTGTGATTGTAATGAATGTCTTGTGATTTCTATTTTTCCATTTTCCATACCTGTGGTATAAAATCCTGATATAACATCAATCAGCAAGCAAGGTGGTTGTGAGCTTCTAAGAACTTCTTTACAGACAAAGTAAATAGCAAGTTTGGGATGTAAACAATGTTATAATAAAACAGGTAAAATAAAATTTGAAAGCAGACTTTACCACAGATAAATTTAATTACTCCTTTAATGCAGAATTACACTGTCTATTTTTCACCCTATACTATTTACCCTGTATTACTGAGCAAATATAAGAATGGTTTCCCCCTTTTCCTCTTTCCCTTTATCCTGTTAACAAAGTCCATGGACATTCTTAAGGTTAAGAATGTGCCTTTTGACTTAGTTTTCTTAATTTCTTACACAATGCTTGATACATATAGACACTCTTTAAATACTGTTCAATTCAACCATGTGATGAAAGGGAAACTAATTCAGAATTCCCTCAGAAAAGTAAACTGACTGAAAAGTAAGTCTGATACCCTCTAATACCAAATAAAATGACCTTTGCATTACTGAGCTTATTCTCTCATTAAAACCCAAGTAATTGCAAACTTCCTATGCTTGTAAAACATTTCAGTGTTGTTAAAGTGTATTGAACTATGTGTGTATTAAGGAGAAGAACTTCACTCTACTTTTAAATGTGTCACTTTTAGATCAAGTTTTACAGTTGAGAAAATAATTGCAATAGTCTCCATTTTTAAAGGGGGAAAAATGAATACTGCTTAAAAATATGGCTGGGGAAATTATGTACCCCCATTTACAGAATATTTATAGGTGATCAGTCATGTGCGTGTTTTACTGTTCTCATGTCCAGGAGTCACCATGCCTTATGTCAGTGTTTTCCAAGGGAGAAGTGGAGGGGACTCTACTGGTATTTGGGGTAGGAAATTTCTTTAGCACCTGGATCCCCTGCTCTCTAAATGCCAATCATGTCCTCCCCCAAGTCACTGAGATGACAAACTCTGCTGTCACACATTTTCAAATGGCCCTTAGAGTACTACCCCTGGTTGAGAACTACTGCCTTAAAGAAATAGTTTTTGTAAGATTTTATATGACTTAAGAAAGAAAAACTGCATAGCTTCCCCATGAATAAGCACTGTCCAGGAATTAAATTTATAATGGAAACACCTGATGCACATTTAGTTAGTTTGTAGTTTACAAAGCACATTCTTTTTTATTGTCTCATCTTCATATCAACTCTGTTAGGGCAGGTATTATCACTAATTTTATGTAAGCAGAAGCTGAGGCTCAATAACTTGCCCAAGAACCCATTAGTGGTGAGTGGGAAAGCCAGGCCTACTGGGTTTAACTAACTTTTCATTCTTTTTGAAATGAACGTGGGGCTACATATGCTTAATATAAATAACTAAATTGAGCTTCTTGGGGGGGGGGTGCAGAAATCCTGCATTCTGTAACATTATGCTTTTTCCAGTAGTAAGCCATACTCAGATATGTATTTTCTTTAATGTTGAGAATACTGGTTTGACAAGCTGTTCCTTTGTAGGCATACTCCACAGTTGGGACGCCAGATTACATTGCTCCTGAAGTATTTATGCAGACTGGTTACAACAAACTGTGTGACTGGTGGTCTTTGGGAGTGATTATGTATGAAATGCTAATAGGTATGTTTTATCATTCAGTTATGTACATAATATATACTTTTCCTTGAGTGCCACTGTTTGAACATATTGCAGATACCATGGGCTAAAATGTCTGAACTCTTTTAACCTATTTCTGACATCTCCTTAAAGTTAAATATATACTGATAAATACCAATGAGCTCTCCAGGGATCCTGGTTTTCAGGAAGGGAGGTGTTTAACCTAAACTCCACATATCAAAATTGTATCTGCGTAGCTTTTCAGGTAAAAGGGGGAGGCAGTGCCTTAAATCCTTGACTTTATTGACTTTATTAGCAAGTTTATTATAATTTGATGAATGATGGCATTTTTTACTTTTAAATAGAGCACTCAGGGCGGTTTTGTTTCTTGTGGCACATATTTAGTAGGTATAACTTAATTGATCACAAAAGCTGATAAAACCTTTTCGGGTTCTTTGATACATAGGATATCCACCTTTCTGCTCTGAAACACCTCAAGAAACATACAGAAAAGTGATGAATTGGAAAGAAACTTTGGTGTTTCCTCCGGAGGTACCTATATCAGAGAAAGCCAAGGACTTAATTCTCAGGTTAGTGGTTAAATTAGAGGAGTTTGTGGTGTCTTAAAATTTCATAAGTACCTAAAAGACCCATTTCACTTTTGTCAGGGGAGGAAGAATACCACTGATGTATACAGTCAAAGAGATCAATAAAGAAAAGGCATCTTAAAAAATATAAACTCTTAAAAGGAAGTATGCGGAAAAAAAAGTAGGAGTTAAAAAGAGGGAAGAGGTTGTTTCAGTTACTGATATATATGTATAAAAGTAAAAGGTCACTCCTGTTAGAATGCAGTGATCTAATTTCATTAAAAAGAAAAGGGAAAATAAATTGTTAGTAGCAGAAATTCCTATCATGACAGTCTATATATGAAATCTTATAAGCAAAAGATTCCTTTCTGTTCCTCAACTAAGATGAAGTGTTTTGGTACTGTTATAAATGACTGGAAGGAATATAAATTGGGACAACCTGTGGGAACAACCAGTTGGCAGCTTATTAATGAAAAATTCTTAAACTATATTATGACCCTTAACCCAGCAATTCTACTTCTAGGAACTCTGCTTATGCAAATAGTCAGATGTTTGTAAAGATTTAGGTACACAGTATGTTTATCATGGTATTATTTAACAGTGAAAAATTAGAAACCATTTAAATGCTCAACAATAGGGGACTGGCTAAATAAATTATAATTATTTCCATATATACATTTTAGAAAATGAATTCATAGAAAAATATTTAATACTTTGGGAAATTTCTCATTATATACTAAGTGAAAAAAAGTCCTAATGTAGTAACTACTCATTATATTAACAAAATATTTTTAATATTATTATAGAAGATTAGAAAGAAATGGCTTCAAAATATTTATAGTAGTTATTATCTCTAAATAGTGCAATTTTACAGATGATTTTTTTTTCTTTTGCCTGTCTTATCTGCATATGGGGGCAGATGATTTTTATTTTCTTCCATATTTCTCACAACTAAACATAGTTAACTTTAGTAAAAAAGAAAAACATTGTAATGCTTTTTAAAAAAGAAAATATTAGAAATAATGCAACTAGAGTACTTTAGATGTAACTTGTATATGATAATTTCTCTGTTTCCATGTTCTAGATTTTGTATTGATTCTGAAAATAGAATTGGAAATAGTGGAGTAGAAGAAATAAAAGGTCATCCCTTTTTTGAAGGTGTAGACTGGGGGCACATAAGGTATGTCCCTATGCTCTGAATGGGAGAGGTCTGAGGAAAAATGAATTTCTAAATATAGCAATTAATTTACCTCTGATTCTACTAGATTAAATACAAAAAATAACACTGTTGTAATGTTATTGAGTGTTTTCTGGATAATGTAAGGTGAATGGGACTATAGTGGCTACAGCTAAATGACTCATTTTAGGCTAATGTCTACTTTAAGGGGAAAAAAGCACATATTGTGCACCTGTTTAGATTCTTACATTCATACTTACACAGTGAAGGCTGTTAACACATGAAAGATGTGTTTACGATTCACACTGTGATCCCTCATTTTTGTCTTCTAATATATCATACTGTGTGTCCTTAATTAATTTATAATAAGGTACAAGTCCCTTCTTTCAACATTTGGGGGAAGTTAAATAATAATAAGTAACCTTTAGTAATAATAAGTATCTTTTAAGACTCCTACTGTGTGCTAGGGACTCTAGCTATTATTATAACAGCTACTTTTAAAAAATCATTTATTGTGTGTCCAGTGCTATTCTAAGTACTTCACTTGCATTTCTCATAGCCTCATAATAAACCCTATAAAGTAATAATTATTATTATCCTCATTTTACAGATGAGGAAACTAAGGCATAGAGAAGTTAAGTAATTTGCCTACAATGCCATAGGTAGTAATTGAAAGAGCTAGAAGTGGACCCAGGCAGTTTGATTCTGGAGACCTAACTCTTAACTGCTACACTGTATTATATATAATGTATGTACATAGTCTCATTGAATAGAGCTATGACACCCCCCTTTTTATAGTTGTCGAAGGATGCTTAGAAACTACCACTCCAATGTTTTACAACAAGGAAACAGTCACAGAGCAGGGGCTTTCCCGCCGAAGGTCATACTGCTATTAATAGTTAATGACAAGAAAGGTTAGATCTCAGGGCTCCAGGGTCTATGGTTCTTTCCACTAAACTAGCTGTATTAAGTTAGTATATTAGGTATAAATAAATTGGAATAATTCTGGTAAAAGTATACACATGCTTTTACATAATTTGGTAAACTTAGCACCTACCAGACCCAAAAATATTTGTTGAAAAAAGTAGAAGAGATAAAAACTGACAGCCTCTTTTAACTGTTTCTATAGTTAAAACATGTTTAGTATGATAAAAAGGCATTTTCATGATTGGTTTCTTTTTAACTGAATATCCCTGATTCTCTTAAAATGTGTATCTCTGAGAAGTTTTTGCATTCAGGTTTCAAAACAAATACATAATCCCTTCACTCTTCATGCCCCTTATTTTCCCAGATGACTTTTCATTTATGAACCCTCTCCTAGCAGAATTCTATTCCAAAATCAATTATGAAGGACCCAGTCCTCACAATATCTCACATATTTTATATAATTATAAAATCTTTTAAATAAAATCTCTTCTGTTTTACTTTTCCCTTCATAAGCTATTGTTTTTCCATTTAAAAAGTAGCATGAGAAAGTCTTGGTACAAAGATAAAATAATTATAAGTAAATGAAAATACTTTTCATTAAACAATTATACTCAGCTATTTTGAGATCTACTTAACTATTCTCAAATCCATAGTAAATTTCCTTGGCCTTTCTAATGCTTATAGCGTGGTATGCAGGGTTTGCAAGTGGAATTATTTGTTGGAAAAATTGAGAGTTCAAGAAAAGTTACCATGGCTGCTCAATACCTTTTTATAGGGAAAGGCCAGCAGCAATCCCTATAGAAATCAAGAGCATTGATGATACTTCAAATTTTGATGACTTCCCTGAATCTGATATTTTACAACCAGGTAAGACAATGATCAATATAACTTACACTATTTTAAAAGTCTAGAAGATGATGACATTTCACTAATGAAATTCCTTTGCTTTTGGTTAATTTTTCTATCTTTCTAGTGCCAAATACCACAGAACCGGACTACAAATCCAAAGACTGGGTTTTTCTCAATTATACCTATAAAAGATTTGAAGGGTTGACTCAACGTGGCTCTATCCCCACCTACATGAAAGCTGGGAAATTATGAATGAAGATCACATTCACCCACAACCAAGAGAACTCAGGTAGCTGCATCACCAGGCTTGCTTGGCGTAGATAACAATACACTGAAATACTCCTGAAGACGGTGGTGCTTATCGACTACAAGAGGAAATTCTACAGGATTAGGATTTCTAAGACTACTACAGGAATTGGTTGGCAGTGCCAGCTGGCTTTTTTTTTTTTTTTAATATTTTATTATTTTTGTTAACTTTATTATACAAAGGTACTGGAATAAAAGGAACGTACATCCCTTTCTAACTGCACTGCCTACATGCGTATTAAGGTCCATTCTGCCTGTGTGTGCCATGGCTTTGAACTGTAACACCTCTAATCAATTCAGGAGAAACACATATCATATAAAGCAACATAGGCTAACCTGTAGGTAACACTGCAGTATTGCTCTTTTACTGCAAATCTTATGGGTCTACATAATCAGTAAAAGCCATCTTCCATAGTTGGTGTTAGAACATTTGCCCTATTGGTTGGACATCTGTAGAATATATATGATGACAATTTCTGTAATGCTTTTAAGAAATTTAAAAAGAAATACACTGGTTCTTTAAAAATAGAATTTATCATCAAGTTATTACACAAACTCCACAGTAGGGAGTGATAAGGTTTTAAGGAAGAGAAAGTTGAGCACCTTCACTCAAGCACTCCACTAATACATTTACTTTGCATTCAGAAATACTGATGACCTTTATATACGTAGTCTGTATACGCATAGGGAGATGTACTGTATTATATAAAATGTAAAGTTGCTTTTCTTGTGACGAGATGAATTCTTTTTTAACAAGAGGACATGGCATTATTTTAATTTGATTATGATGAGTTGAATTTAAGAAATGACCATGAAGGCTGCTTGTAGAACTAGTGTATTTTTATTAAAGTATTTTTTTAAATGTCAAACTTCTGATCACGTAAATGGACTTGTAGAGAACAAAATGCTATTTACTTTGGTTTTCTAGAAAGTTGTTACATATCATGGCTGTTAACTTTTATTTCCTTTGATGAAAATTTTTCCTTTAATAGTACTTGTATTATTGTGCCATTATTTTCTTATGCTCCAAATGTACCAAAGATCCTGAACAGAGTGGATGTTCACAACTGGGTAGAATTTTACTCTCCTGTGGGAATGCTATATTCAGACATGATAGATCTTTGATGGAAGTTGGCTTATTCAAGGGCAATATTGTTCATGTTTAGGTACATCACTGTGGTTAATCTAGATGGAATGAAGGAAGTACATGCAGGCCAGGGGGGTTGTGATGAGAGGAAATGGGAGATAATGTCAGCATCAAATTCTTTGGGTATTTCCCTAAGAGTTAAGTAATCTTTTCTAGATCAGCATTTTAATTCTAATTTAAACAACTCTCTGAGGTTTTGGTTTCTTAAGTCTAGTTGAGGAATAATACTTTAGCAAAGAATGGCCTAATGTTTGTCTTAACTGTTAATTGATAGAATTTTTTAAAGATACAATAATTATAACCATTACAAATGATCTGTGATCAAAATCTAAAGTGATGATTGATTTGTAGGAATGTCTTCCTAATGGGGAAGAATTGCATAGGATCATTATGCAAATCTACAAAAAGCTTTTATAAATGTTGCTGCTAGGTAGCTCCACAATGTTTTAATGAGGCCATCCTGTCCCTCCCCCACCCAACTCCCCACACACATACACTTTATTTTGGTTTATTTCTTTTTGGGTATTTATTGAGTACTTACTTTGTGTTCATCTAGTAGTTCATCTCCATTTTTCCAGTCTGGATCATGTGACTGAGTATTTGGGAGAGAGCTATTAAAACTCAGAGATTATCTCAAATTTGACTAACTCTAATTGTTCTAATTATAACTGCCTTTAATTTTTTTAAAAAAATCTTTAACTTCTGCTGGAGTTTATGAGATTTCCCCCACACACACCACCCCCTTTTTTGAAAAAGAGATTGTTTTTCTAGTGTGATAATGAATAGGTAAGCTATGAGGAAATTACAACATTCTGTAGTTCTAGTGTGGTAACTCTTCTAGTGCAGAACAATATTAATTCAAGATGACAGAGGGAGAGATTGATAATAAAGGAACTGAATTATCTAAGTTTACTTTTTAATTGCGTATGACTAGAGCATTTTAGTTTTGATTTCCCTCATTCTTAATTATCGTAAACTTGGAAATAGTTATAATTTCTTGGCAATGGAAGGGCAGTTCTGGAAAGCTTACTTTGTTTGGAGTCTCATTCTTCCCTGGAGTTAATAGAGTGATTCACAATCTTTGGGGTTTTCTCCTCATCAAAAGTATATCTTAAGTGCCTATCTAAAAGCAATTAAAGACTGTGTTTGCCCTTTGGAAGCTAAGAATTTGATTCATGATGCAAATTAACTAGATAATTTGCAAGCACCCTTGAGATTGAATTTTCTCTATTATACACATCCTGTATTTCAGGTGAATCTTTAATTTAAATGACAAAACCCTATCTAATCAACTGGGCATAATGACATTTTCTTTAAATTAGACTCTATTTTGAATTAAAAGAGTTTTATTATAAACTGTGTGTTTTTGGTTTTTCTAAGTATATAGAAAGCTTGTATAATTCAGATTTATCAATTTCCTGATTTAATGTAGACTTTGACTTTTTTTATTAAAAACCTTTATATTAAAGCAAGTTATGTTATTTTTCTTTTATGCATTTATTAACATAACTTTAAATCTTTAAATGTATTGAAGCATTGTGCTATATGAAAATAAGGAATTGCTTATAAATCAGCCACTTCTGAATGGAATATATAGCTGATTTAATAAGCTAGTGAGTTGATTGGAAAATACGAAATGAGGAATACTAAAAATATTCTTTGGTTGTTAAGGCTTGAGATAGGGTTTCATTTACATCTATTAATAGCATACGTTTTCTGTTTTTTAAACACCTGCATATCTTTGTGTAAATCTTTACATTTTAAAATATTTTAAGTAACATTTATTTTTGATGTTTATTGTAGAAAACCTTTAGACAATCAGTCATTCGCTACTGATAGGAGAAACAGCTATCTTTTGATGATTTATAAATAAATGAATTGAGATTTTAATCAGTAGAGGTCCCTGGCTACTTAAACACATCTTCTTTTTGAATTGTTAAAATTCAGGACATTGAAAATTACTGTTTTACTACAACCATGATGATTTCCCCCTTAAATTTTATTTTCTCTTTAGAAGTGCACTTATTTCTGAAAAATCTTAATGAAACAAACACTTAGAACAAATATAAATACAAGACACTTGGGACTACTAGAGATATTTTAGATTTTTATGAAAAAAAATGTGAGGGTATACTGCTGCTTTACAAGGGGATAAAGTAATAAAAATATATCTTCGCTATTTTTTTAAAAGCAATATAATCCAGCAATTGTCTAGAAAAATAATCAACAGGCTATTGAGTTCGGTGTTCAGTTACTGAGTTTCATAAAATGTTTTGGTGGCATGAGGGCTTTTTCATTGAAGGTAAGATAAGAATAAAAACTATGTTTACAAAATTTCTGTTGGTGAGGGTTTTTTTGGTTTTATTTTTGAGTTTTGAGATAGGTGTTATCCAAAACTCAAGAAAGACTATTTTGTAATTGTAAATTACTGAATAACTTTTACACTTGAAAGATCACATCAAGAAATAAAATAAATATTTGAAGTTTATATTTAAAATCTCTGTTTAAATCTGTAGCTAAAAACATGGCTACACAAACCATAAGTTATAATTTTAGGTACTTGCTGGGTATATAGCTTATATATAACTACCCTATTTGGCCAAAACCAATTAGTAAGCAGTAAATTGCAAATGCCTCAAAATAGCATAGAAATTTACTAATGTAAGTGACCCAGGTACCACTACCTCATGTTCCATAGAAGATGCTGACAATGAATCATAATACTTTTTCCACTGAGCCCACAGGGAGCTGGTGAGAATTCCGTTCAGCCTTGTTGTGTTCCAACTGTTCCCAACATCATTTCAATAATGCCATTGTAAGATAAAATAGTGATAACACTGAATGACACAATTTGGGTATTAAAGCCCAAAGACTCTAAATTTATCTTTCAAAAGCATGCACTGATACAAAGAACTTATATTTGTATACAAAATTCCTCCACTTACATCATTCATTTTGTTTTTTACAACTACTCTGTAAATAAACACAATTACCATCATTTGATAGATGATGAACATGAGGCTGAGTGATTATGTCTTAGCCAAAACACAGGTAATAAACTGTTCTTGAGCCCAAGTCTAGTGCTCCTGCTCCCCCAAATCACAGAATGTACCCCACTGACGAATGAGCTCAGAAGAACCCAAGGAATGACAGTAACAGTTATTACTTTGCATACTTTCGACTACAAGTGACAGAAAACACAAAGATGACTTTCACAATAAGGAAAAATAGTATCTCATGTAATTAAGACACAAGATAGAGAGCTTCCAGGGTAGTCAGTTTAGCATCTCAAAAACATTACCAAGGAAGCTGGTGTGGTGGCACGTGCTTGTAGTCCCAGCTGCTCTGGAGGCTGAGGGTTGCTTGAGCCCAGGAGTTCAAGGGTAGCCTGGATGACATAGTGAGACCCTGTTTTCCATTTCCCTACTTTGTCATCCTTAGAGTATTGGCTTTATCCTTGGTTTTGTTTTCTCAGAGAAGCTAGACTGCTACAGAGACTTTGTTTTATTTTGACTTGTTTTGTTTTTGAGACAGGGTCTTTATATATATATATGATTTTTTTTTTTTTTTGAGACAGAGTCTCACTTTGTTGCCCAGGCTAGAGTGAGTGCTGTGGCATCAGCCTAGCTCATAGCAACCTCAAACTCCTGGGCTCAAGTCATCCTCCTGCCTCAGTCTCCTGAGTAGCTGGGACTACAGGCATGCGCCACCATGCCTGGCTAATTTTTTCTATATATATTAGTCAGCCAATTAATTTCTTTTTATTTATAGTAGAGAGGAGGTCTCACTCTTATTCAGGCTGGTTTCAAACTCCTGACCTTGAGCAATCCGTCCGCCTCAGCCACCCAGAGTGCTAGGATTACAGGCGTGAGCCACTGCGCCCGGCCTGAGACAGGGTCTTGCTCTGTCGCCCGGGCTGGAGTGCAGTAGCATCATCATATTAAATAGCTCACTGCAGCCTCCAACTCCTGGGCAAGCGATCCTCCTGCCTCAGCCTCCTGATTAGCTGGGACTACAGGCATGCGCCACCACGCCTGGCTAATATTTCTATTTTTTATAGAGATGGGGTCTCGCTCTTGTTCAGGCTGGTCTTGAACTCCTGGGCTCAAGCTATCCTCCGTCCTCTGCTGCCCAAAGTGCTAGGATTACAGGCGTAAGCCATTGTGCCCGGCCCGAATACTCTTAAGTATCAAATCCTCACACATGTAGGGCCTTCAAGAGAGAAACTACTTCCTGTGCCCTCTTTTTAAGAGCAAGGAAAGTCTTTTCCAGAAGCATCCTAAGCAAGTCTTACTGACCATGAGTGTGTCATCTGTCCATTCCTAAACCAGTACCTGGCCCAGCAACTGACTTAAAATTAATCAAGGTTCATTCACATCCCTGGTGCCAAATTCGAGTTCTTTTGACAGGCTACAGGGTCATCAAAAGGGTGCCACATAGGTTGAGAGCAATAGTTCTTACCCAAAGCCACTGCACCTAGATTGTTGTTGCATCTGCCATTGCCTACATATGAACTGAACATTAGTCCGTTAACATCTTTCCTGACCCATCTGTAAAACAGAACCACTATGCTAGACCATGGCTCAGCTGCTTGGATCTCAGGTTTCTTGTCCTTTGAAGGGTCACAGGAATAGGGTTGAGTTTCTGGACATTCAGAAAGAATGGATGGATAGCCCAGTGACCAGGTCTTGGTCTCTTTAGTGCTTTTGCTATCCCTTCCAGCCCCTATTCATCAGAGAAGATAATCTCTTCATTGGTCCCTCCCATGGGTACACTCTCCTACAATTACCTTCTCTGCTTCTTCTCCACTTTTTTGGCCAAGCTCAATCTGAACTTTCCTATGCCAGAAGCCCACCATAGGTCTACCTCTCCCTCTAAACACATAGGGGTCTTCTGGTTTCCCTGTTTCTCCAAACTGCAATTCCACGTATCAATCTGCTCAGCAAATCCAAGCATCTTCCCCAGGATTCACCCACCATAGGATGCTGGAGGTAGGGTAGGAAGAAAGAGTAATTTTAAATATTAATTTAATTTCCCTAGTCACGTAGGGTCTCAATAATGGGTAGTTGTCATTTATTTTTATGCATCATTGGAAAAAGTATCTTTACACTCTGAAGCAGGTGGATTTTTGTTGTTGTTCTGGATCAAATAAAATATCTAAGTGGCCCCAAGGGAGTCCCCAAACTAAATTATATTGTTACAATCCCAGCAGGAGGTTGAAAAGGATAGGCGTTTATGGTTTGTGAGGCAGTGGTTCCTAATTCTGGGTGGGTAAAAGAATCTTTGTCCCACCTTGAAAATAGTACTGTGCTTGGCAGTGAAACAAAATTAACAAACTAATTTCATTCAAGTGTAGGCAATGATTCCTGGAGAGCAAGGCTGCTTCTCGGCTTTTGGCAGGAGAATGGTGTTGACCAGAAGGAACTGTACCATGCATTCTGCAAATCAGGTTTCAAATCACTTTTCTCACATTTTCCCCAAGGATAAAGTATGAGAAAATCACTGGCTGGAAATGAGAGATTACTTTCCTAGCCATCTGGCAAGATATTGTATGGTCCTCTATCTCTGTCTTATCCTTGAGAGTATTTATTTTAAAAAACAAAACAAAACCAAAACATATCTTAGAAAGTAAAGCGCCAGAACATAAAGAAAAAATAGCAACTAGGATTTGAACCTGAACAATAGGGGAACACATCCTACACAATGAGAGTGATTTGCCCCACGGAATCCCACGGTTCTGTCCTTGGTTTGTGCATTATGCTTTCTGCCTTCGTATTTTATACTCTGGATCCCTCTTCTTGCTTTCAGGCTTTTGGTGGAGGTGAATCATCTTTTCTAAGAAATGAGGAGTGCAGTGATTCACAGGCAAGCATACCGCACACCACCGTATGAACGCCTGAGAAGGAGACCTGACTTTCAGGGTCTTGCTTCTACTATAGACCGAGTGATTTGTGGCCAAAATACTCATCATCTCTGAACCTCTGTTTCCCTACTGATAAGACAGGAATTAAGAGGTTGTTTTGAGGCTCACTGAGACGATAAAGGGGAGAATGCACTGTAAGCAAGATGTGTAGAGCAGTATTGTACATTTTAACCAGGGTCCTAGCAATTCTGCTTCACCATCAAATCGGTGTTTAACACAGGCCCAGGTCTGATTAGATTCACCCCCCTTTCCCCTTGGTAAACCACCTGGGGATAGTACATTTGTCTGGAAAGCCAGCGTTTGAACACGTTCAGGGAGCCCCCTATATGGAACTGCTCTTTCTGAGCTGCCAGCAGAAATTGGTGTTGGTATTATTTGGGATGGAGTTCCAAGTCAAAGCTGGGAGTGAGATGTTTCAAGAATGGTTTTGATGAAGGATGTGTCTTGGTGTGTATTTAGGGCAGCACAGCTTTTAGCAGCTCTTTCTACCTCTAGCTGTATAAAGTCCCAGTCCCTACTTAAGGCTGAAACAGTTTTTTTTTTTTTTTTTGCCTACCTGCCTACTTCTTGGGAGCGCACTTCCACCCCACCTACCTCGCTCAGACTCTAATAATGGCCCTAAGTATTGCGCTCTAGGCGCGTAAGCGGCTAGTCAGGACGCTGTAACTGAGTGCTTGTAGGAAAACTATTGCATTTAGGCTGGTTGGTGCAAAGCTTCAGCGTTTTCTCTGCAGTTCCTTTCTTCTACTACCTCTCCTAGGCAAAGAGGTAACCAAAGAATCGGTCTAGGGACCAGTGGGAGGGGAGCGAAACAACGTATTCTGGAAACGTCGTCACAGGCTGTAGGGCCATCAAGTGATGCCCAAAGGATCTAGCTTCTGGGTTTACGCAACTGTCCCAGGAGGTAAACCGGCTTCCTCGGTGACCTTCTGTCTGTCACCTACATCCTCGTCTTTGCAGCTAAGCCCTCCTAGAAGCAGAAAACAGCAGGGTCCAGGAGAGTCGCTCTTCCAGCACGACCCCCGACCCCCGCGCCCTCTGCTACCCCACCATGCATTGATCTTCGTCCACCCTTTGCCTTTTCCCCCAACGGGCTACAACTGCACTCTCCGAACCGCTCAGACAGAAAAGACTTAGCACGACCATCATGGAAGCCCGTTTTCAACAGGCCGGTTTCTAGAAAGACTCAACCCGGCTTTCCGCGCTCGGCCCCTCGGCGGCGGGGTCGGCGGGGTCGGCGGGGTCGGCGGGGCGGGGCCCGCTGTGGCTCCGCCCCGCGCCGGGTCCCGTTCTCCCGCCGGGGAGCCCCGCGGCGCGCACTCGGGCGGGCGGGCCCCAGTCCGCATGCTCAGTGGCCGCGGCCGGCCGGGCGGCGGGACGGCGAGGTGTGCGCGCCCGAGGGCTGCGGTGG